ATCTGGCTTCCCTGTAACAGAAATAATACTCTTTCTGAGTACAATTTTTCCCCCCACAGAATGTGCAGAATTGTTAACAGACATCAATTTTCTACAAAACTACTTACCCAGCTGTGAAATTTTTTGTCTCAAGGTGCAGACTAAAGCCAGTAATACCAAATTTTCTGAAGTGGTTTTGAAAAAGCCATTATATCTTTGGCAATGAACAGAGCATCAGAACAGATGATACTCCACCAACCTTGAAGAGATAGGGACACAGGAAGATCCTAGTCCGTCTTTTAAACATCATTTACACCATTCACAAGGAGCCTGTATTTAAAAGTGCTGGCATTTGGAGGGTGCTGAAAACACGGTAGACCATGGAGTTCAAAGGGCAGACCACAGACTTAGATGATAGTTCCAACACTGAAATAATTTACTTTCTAAAAAGGCTCTCAGAGAAGATTCCTGGGCCATTCCACATGAATTTGGAGAGATCAGAGAGACCAGAGAGTCACAGACTTTGAAACAGGAATTTCAATGCTCAAAGGGTGCTTACGTTGGAAACGTAGGCTCCAAACAGAGGGTACTTTCTGGCTTGAGCAAAAAAATCTCCTGTGACTGTTTTATGCACACAACAACTTCCTGATAATAATTATCACCCCTTCTTAGAGACATGGGCCAGAAGAAGAGAACCTACTTTCCTTCCAAGTTCAACACCTTGGGGACATTTTCTTGTTTAATTCAAGAAAATGATCAAGTTTGATACTCCACTGCCAGATATGGTCCTTCTGAGATATTACATATACTGAACTGCTGTAGCTTGGTATTAGGATCCCATGAAAGCTGGAACAGAGAATGAATTTCTAGCTACAGTATCACTATAGCATTGCAAGATACATACCCTCTGGTCCTGACAGTAGACCAAAGGGTATAATAAGATTTTTCAAAGTTGAGGGATACCAGGGAGTTCCCTGGCAGTCCAGTGGTAGGACTCAGTGCTTTCACTGCCATGGCCTGGGTTCAATCCCTGGTCGGGAACTAAGATCCTGCAAGTTTTGCACCATGGCCAAAAAAAAAAAAAAAAAATTGAGGGATAGCAGAGAAAACTCTAATTTTAAAAGATACATGCAAGTTCATAGTAGCACTATTTATGATAGCCAAGACATGGAAGCAACCTAAATGTCCATCAACAGATGAATGGATAAAGAAGATGTGGTATGTATATATACACACACACACACACACACACACACACACACTGGAATATTATGCAGCCATAAAAAGAATGAAATAATGCCTTTTGCAGCAACATGGATGGACTTAGAGTTTACCATATTAAGTGAAGTAAGTCAGACAGAAAAAGACAAATATATGATATCACTTATTTGTGGAATCTAAAAAGATGATACAAATTAACTTATTTACAAAACAGAAATAGAGTCAAAGACTTATGGCTACCAAAGGGGAATGGGGGAGAGAGGGATAAATTAGGAGTTTGGCATTAACATATACACACTACTATATATAAAATTGGTAAACAACAAGGATATATATATATATATATACACACACACACATGTATGACTGAATCACTTTGCTGTACACTGGAAACTAACACAACATTGTAAATTAACTATACTTCAATAAAAAATAATTTTTAAAATGTTGAGTGATAAATTATACTATGTGGAAGTAAAGTTTAAAATAAGGCTATGCATCAGAAATATGGATTTGACCAACTTAAATCTTAGAAATAAATACCATCTCACCTCAAAATAAATAAATAAATAAATAAATAAATAAATAGTAACCTGTGAGGTGATGGACATTAACTAACCTTATTGTAATAATCATTTCATAATAAACACATATATAAAATCATAACATTGTACACCCTAAACATGCACAATGTTATTTGTCAATTCTATCTCAATAAAGCTGGGGAAGAAAAAAGAAAGAAATACCATGAAACTAATTTAAAGACTACAAAGAAACCACAATATAAAAACAAAAACACAGTTAAGGAAAAGATTTTACACACACACATCATTGATTTTACATACACACACACACACACATATGCACACATAATTTGGGTTGTATTTTTTTGTTCTAAATTGTATTCTAGAATATTGCTCCTCTGACTGAAAACAAACATCTAGACCATCAGATCCCTGAGAACAGAAACCAGACCATTAATATCTGAATACCCAGAGCTCAATACAGTATACTGTAAATGGTGTGAATTCAATAAATATTTTTATTTAGGTAAATAATTTAATGATAGAACACTCAAATTTCTTTAAACACAATATTTCAAGTTACTATATTTTTGTCTGAGTACAGATCTGGAGTGGTACAAATTGTATCTAAATATTGAACCATGAATTAAGCAAAAAGGGTGGAAAACAACTCTTCTGACTTAGGTTTCGATTCCTTACTCCCACTCTTGCTTGCCTCAAATGATTTCTATTGAAGATATTTAGGTAAACCTTTAATGGACAACATGTGAAAAGGTCCTTTGACTATAGGGCTAATTGAGACAAGCTCATGGGTACTGAGCAGGGGGCCTTCGGACTTTGAAAGGTCCACTTCCTGCAGAAGCCATTCCTGTTCTCTTTTCTGCTTTAATCCAGACCTGCTTGAATGAAGCCCCATTAAGTAACTACTGACCACTTACGTACGTAATATATAACTTAAATGTATAAATAACTTAGAAGTAAAGTAGAAAAATGGTTTTCTTTTAAAGAGAAAGCAAATGGAAGACCAGCCTTCGCTCTGGAGCACACCAGGCATGACACTGAGCATCCCCTCCCCAAATGTCTGCTCCAGCCCCCATTTGTCAACATCCATCACCCTGACCCTCTTGCCTATGGCAATATGGCTAGACTTACCTCAGAGGTTTCACAGATAGAAAAAAGCTGAAGGAAACTGGGGATTCCATACTAGGTGTACATTCCACCAGCAGTGATTGACACACATGCTACGTGCAATCATTGACACTGCGAGCCTGCCTGTTTTCAGCTTTACAGGCTGCTTAAGAACACTTCTTATTGAGAGAGACTCTGCTGGTCTTGGATCATCATGGAATGATGAGGCTTACTTTAGTAAGAATGACCCTCTTACATTATAGGGCCAAAGAACAGATGCACAAGTGTGTAGGGATCAGATGAACTATGTTTTTTTGATTTTGGTTTTTGTCAGTGCCTATATATACACATATGGTATAGTTTAATAAAGTTGCTTTTCTTGTGTTTCATTGCTTTGTAAAGTCACATCATATATACAGACATCAATAAAACTCACAGATGGCCAGTACAAAATTTAGAAGTTTCCAACACTGTAAAAAAATGACAAGGAGTTATCAGCCCTCAGGTAAACTTCAGGATGGGTCAACCCTAATATTAATCACTGTGGACTGCAAGCACTAAGTTCTGTCTAGTTCTATTTGAGAGGAGAGGACTTCATCCACTGGTAACATCACCTGATCACCATCAGGGAACAAAAAGTTCTCATGGCTTTGGCACTCTCTGTTCCCTGGAAGGGTTTCTGACTGGTGGAGGCAGAGAGGACAGCGAACGATCCAAAAGGAATCAACAACCCCTAAATGGGCCAATAGTACATCCTGGAATCCTACCCAGGCCAGGACCCTGAGACTGGAAGCTAAGAACTGTTGTCAACTACATGGGTCTTCATCCAAGCACAGAAGCACAGTCCCATCCCTCACCCCTTCCTCAGTCTAAAGTAGAGCAGAGGGGAAGCTCTTTGGGAGAAGAGAGGAAGGAAATTTGGTACAGACAAAGGCCAGGCTACTTCCCAGAGGCCTAATGCTCTAGGCCACACCTAACTAAGAGTGTGGAATATGATCCCACTTTGAAGATGAATAGCACTATTTTAAGAGTAGAACATCTTGGGAAAATCCAGGATGCCTACTCTGAAACTTTAACTCGAGGCTGTGGAAGACACATCAGTATGCAGGTATATTCTCCTCTTAAAAATCTAAGATGACAGAGACCACCCTGGTGGTCCAGTGACTAAGGCTCCACGCTCCCAGTGCAGGGAGCCGAAGCTGGATCCCTGGGCAGGGAACTAGATCCCGCATGCCACGACTAAAAAAACATTCTGCATGCTGCAACTAAAGATCCTGCATGCCGCAACTAAGACCCGGTGCAGCCAAATAAATAAATAAATATTAAAAAAAAAATCTAGATAAGAAAAAATATGAAATCTTGCCATTTGCGACAACATGGAGGGACCTTGAGGGTATTATGCTAAGTGAAGTAAGTCAGACAGAGAAAGATAAATAGTATAGGATTTCACTCATATCTGGAATATGAAAAACTATAATAAACAAACAAAACCCCTAATAAATGAACAAACCAAAACCAAATAAAACAAACATGTCATTACAGACAACAGAGTAGTGGTTATCAGGGCGGGTAGGTAAACGAGGGAGACAAAGTGGGTAAAGGGGATCAACTGTATGGTGATAGATGAAAAATAAATTTTTGGTGGTGAGCACATTGTAGGGTATACAGATGTAGAAATATAATGCCATAAATCAAGATTATCTCAATAAAAAATAAAATAAATCATTGTAAATGAAAAAATGTAGATGGATATTTTCGTTTTCAAGCACCAAAAACTTTTAAAAAACTTTAATTGGCTAATATAGTGCACATGTTAAGCAGACTTTTAAAGAGACCCTACATCTTGAGTGGGTTAAGTAATCATTTATAACCATCTTGAAACATGTTTAACTCGGTTTTTCTAGTGACATGAGATTAAACATGGAAACCAAACTGTGTTTCACTCACAACATATAAGCAAAGAAACTGCATGGACATGTGTAGATTTATGCAAAGACCCGGTGATACAACTATGTTTAGCTTTTCAGATTAGGTACATACGGCCGGCCACCCACTCGCCCTGTATTATCTCACCAAACACAAGAGCAGCAACTTTTCTATTTCAATACAATTATGGGCAGAAATTATATGATATAAAATGGAGGTTCTTCCATAAAGGTTAAGATTTAGCATATAAGCAGGGAAGACAAAAGCAAAGTTCCCATGAAGTCAAAAATAATACCACACTGGTCCAGTGCTCCATGAAACTCTGAGTTAAATTATAGTCCTCAAAGGCGTGTACTTGGATCCAGATTCACCAAGACACTTCAGTGTGCTTCAAACTGGCTCAACATCATCTTCCTGCTGTATTCATAAGCCAAAAATAGTGCCGCATTGGCAGGGAACGCTCGAATCAAAGTAGCTTTCAGACCAGAATATAAAGCTGCTACTCCTTCCTTTTTCACAACACTTAAAAGAGTTCTGATAAATCCTGCCTGTTTTCCAAACATGGAAAGAACCTGAATTCTGGATTTGATACAATCCACTGGGTATATGACAAGCCAAAGGCAAATTCCAGCAATTCCACCGCTTAACATCAAGGGGACAGGGCCTAGTTCATCTTTTGATCCATCCGAGGCAAAAAACGAGCGGCTCAGTTCATAGCCACCGAAGAAGAAGAAATAGCCTGGTACTACTTGAAACAGAGTGCTCGTGAGTCCGTGGTAGAAGCCCAAGGGGCCATCCTTTCTAAGGATACTCTTCGCGACGGACCAAACTGTATTATGGCTTTTTGCTATCCTCCCTGACATCTCTAGTTCGTGCATGGTCTGCAGCCGGCACTTCACCAGCTCAGTGGGGCACAGGGCCAGCGCGGCAAACGCAGAGGCGACGGAACCAGCGGCCGCAGTCTGCAGATCATTCAGCTTCGCCTGCGTGTCCAATCCAACCACTTTCCTCACGAACTGTTGGCAGAAGCCGTAGCACAAGAAGAGGACTGAGTTCTCGGCGACGTAGGCCATCAGCGCGGGGCCGGTCCCTTTGTAGAAGCCCCGCAAGCCCACCTGGGAGTACGTCTTCAGGCCACAGTCGACGAGGCCCTTGTACAGGCCAGGAAACGTCTGCATCTTCACTTTCATTGTGTCGAAGGGCTGCCCGGTCAGGACGCATGCTGTGCCCCCAAGGGCCCCCGCGGTGAGGTCGATGGCGGCTTGGATGGCAGGATTGGATTTCATGTTCGCCCCCTCTTCTGCTGGTCACCGAGGAAGGGAACTCTCTGGAGCTTAGGAGGGCGTCCCGCGTCCAGCCGCCTGCTCTTGGCTCTCTCTCCGGCACGGGAGAAGCCGCTTAACCCCAGACTAGGCCGCGGGCCGCCCTCCCCACGCACTGAAATAACCCCCGGCCCGCGGGCCCGCGCGCGCCTCTCCTAGTGCCCTGCGGCCGCCGCGTCTGGGCCCTAAACCCGTCAGCCGCCCTCCCGCTCGCTCCGCGCCGCCAGGCAGTCCCAGCGCCCGCGGGCCCCGGGGCAGACTAGAGAAACACTTCTAATGACTCTCAATACAGCAGTAGAAAGCTGTCCGATAAACTCCTGCGATTACGGCCAGAAACTCTAGGCGCTGCTGCGGCGGACGAAGACTTGCCTTCCTGTTCGGCCAGAGACCCCCACCTCCCGGCAAAAGAAAATGGGAGGTGCTTGATCGCGCCTGGGGTCAAAGGGTCAATCTACAGAGTCAAAGGTTTAAAATAGGGAAAACGAACAAACACTTTGGGGGGTGTACCTGACAATCGGTGGCTCCTTCGGATCAGAAAACCCTTAATCGTCTCCGGAGAGGAATGGCGGCTCCACAAAGGTGCCGGCCGCCGCGCCTCTCCAGGTGTAGCTCTTTGCTCGCCGGGGGCGACGCCGGGGGAGGCCTGAGGCGGGCAGATCCCCTCTTTCGCGGTAACATCGCCGAGGATCCTGGCCTGAAGCCCTGAGAGCTGGTGGGACGCAGGACCCTCGTTATTTCTAGAGGTAAGTCAAGGCCTTGTACAGTCGCATTGGTAAACATTTATATACAGCTAAAAAACTTGATATAAAAGACCTGTGTGGCTCCAGCGCTCTGTGCGTGCTAAGTCTCGGGGTTCTTGCTGAGGAGCCATGCAGCTTTAGGCAGCAGAAGTTCTGGATATAACTGACTACAGGCCTAGTAGGCAAGATGCAGTTTGGGGCATCAGTGAGGGTACCGCTGTCAGGACACACTTATCCTCCCATATGCTTATAATCCCAGCGTTGGAACGAATTCTCTTAAAGTTTACATTTTAAGCCCTAGGCGGTATTTTACTTTGGGGGTAAAAACAAAATGGTGGAGGAGGCAGAAACTATGCTGAAAGGATTCTTTCATTTAGAAAGCTTTCCTTGTCTGATTCTTTGGATATCAGTTAATATTTAAAAGTGAGGCACCTAAAAGCAGATTGTGCGTGGATACTGTTTGTCAACAGGTAGACTTCATTGTAGTAAGTAGTGACTTGGCCTTTTCTTTGGAGAGTGCCCAAATGTATCTGGATTTCTTTTCTCTGGTACCATATGGTTTCTTCAGAGAATAATCTTCCAGTCTTGACTGTGTGTATGTGTCTGTGTGTTTGCGGGGCAGGGGGGGTGCGGGTGGTGTTTACCTTGGGTACTGATTTAATGACACCAAGTGGGAGAAGAGGGTTGACATCCTGCAGTCAGAAAACAGACTTTCACACAATTCCCTTGTTCAATGCTATGGACCCCCAGCCTCCATCTGTGCCTTCTTTGGTTCAATTTACCCAGAAAATAAACTTTCTGTCTGTGGCATGGGTAAGGAAAAGTCATCTGGCTTGAGTGAGATAGGGCTCCTGGACATCCAACAGCTCTGAGCACAGATTTTATCTTATTTTTTTTGTCTGTGCCACATGGCATGCAGGATCTTAGTTCCCAGACCAGGGATGGAATCTGTGCTCCCTGCGGTGGAAGCCCAGAGTCCTAACCACTGGACTGCCAGGGAAGTCCCTGAACACAGATATTAATGAATCCTGTTTCTAGCCTCACACCTTCCCTCTTCCTTGGAAACTGCCTGCAAAAACTGAGCCTCAGTGTCTATATCAAGTGGGTGGGTTTGTTTCTCCTTGGTATACCTCCTTGCAGACATTTAGCATGTAACTTTCTGTGATCTATGAATTTATCGTTTCTTCATCTGCTTTGGCCTTCTAAAAACATTGACATCTCTCATCCACTGTTGTCTCATCTCCTATTTTCCTTGCCCTTGGGGGTTACTATATTAGGCGGCAGAGAAAAGAGATTCATGAGAACAATGTGCCATTTTAAACTAGAAAAAATTTTTTTTTAATTTTTAAAATTTCGTATCACATTTGATGGTTTTTTAAAAATTAATTTTATTTATATATTTATTTTTGGCTGCATTGGGTCTTTGTTGCTGTGCTCAGGCTTTCTCTAGTTGCCGTGAGCGGGGGCTACTCTTTGTTGCGGTGCACGGGCTTCTCATTGTGCTGGCTTCTGTTGTTGCAGAGCATGGGCTCTAGATGCACGGGCTTCAGTAGTTGTGGCATGCAGGCTCAGTAGTTGTGGCACATGGGCTTAGGTGCTCCACAGCATGTGGTATCTTCCCGGACCAGGGCTCAAACCTGTGTCCCCTGCATTGGCAGGTGGATTAACCACTGCACCACCAGGGAAGTCCCTCACGTTTGAGGGTTTTTAAAAACTGTTTTGGTTTTTTAAAACTGTCCATTAATTACCTATGGTTCATTGTTTATTTTTTAAAAGCACATACTGTTTTTACAAACACAAGAGATGCAGGATACTACAATAAATCATCAACGGCTTTTGCATTAAATTCATATATGTATATGTTTTGGAGAAACCAAGTTAGTAATCAGCGCCAGGGATCATGAGGGCATTAATAGGGAAATCGTCTATAATTTCATTGAATTATCAGACATAGTTGTGCAATAACACACAGATCTCAAGTTCCATGAAATATATTTAAACAGCTGGACTTGGAGCACATGTACTCCCACGCATACATGGAAAACAATGGCAAAGGAAC